ACTGATGCAAGTCATTCAGCCTGTGGTGCCTGGGATTATATAATACAAGGATCCCCAGCACTGTCTGGGCTCATACAGTGGGGAAAAAAAGTATTTAGTCAGCCACCAATTGTGCAAATTCTCCCACTTAAAAAGATGAGAGAGGCCTGTAATTTTCATCATAGGTACACGTCAACTATGACAGACAAAATGAGATTTTTTCTCCAGAAAATCACATTGTAGGATTTTTTATGAATTTATTTGCAAATTATGGTGGAAAATAAGTATTTGGTCAATAACAAAAGTTTCTCAATACTTTGTTGTATACCCTTTGTTGGCAATGACACAGGTCAAACGTTTTCTGTAAGTCTTCACAAGGTTTTCACACACTGTTGCTGGTATTTTGGCCCATTCCTCCATGCAGATCTCCTCTAGAACAGTGATGTTTTGGGGCTGTCGCTGGGCAACACAGACTTTCAACTCCCTCCAAAGATTTTCTATGGGGTTGAGATCTGGAGACTGGCTAGGCCACTCCAGGACCTTGAAATGCTTCTTAAGAAGCCACTCCTTTGTTGCCCGGGCGGTGTGTTTGGGATCATTGTCATGCTGAAAGACCCAGCAACGTTTCATCTTCAATGCCCTTGCTGATGGAAGGAGGTTTTCACTCAAAATCTCACGATACATGGCCCCATTCATTCTTTCCTTTACACGGATCAGTCGTCCTGGTCCCTTTGCAGAAAAACAGCCCCAAAGCATGAAGTTTCCAGTAGGTATGGTGTTCTTTGGATGCAACTCAGCATTCTTTGTCCTCCAAACACGATGAGTTGAGTTTTTACCAAAAAGTTCTATTTTGGTTTCATCTGACCATATGACATTCTCCCAAACTTCAGACGGGCCTGGACATGTACTGGCTTAAGCAGGGGGACACGTCTGGCACCGCAGGATTTGAGTCCCTGGCGGCGTAGTGTGTTACTGATGGTAGGCTTTGTTACTTTGGTCCCAGCTCTCTGCAGGTCATTCACTAGGTCCCCCCGTGTGGTTCTGGGATTTTTGCTCACCGTTCTTGTGATCATTTTGATCCCACGGTTTGTTCCCCCTCTCTGTTCCTCTCCCTCTGGACAACTCTCCTCATTCTGTTCAGAACAGTCCTGCAGAAAGACCCACAGATTCAGGCGTCATTACCTTTTTCTGTTTGTATGTTTTGTGTGCGTGTGACACAGTATGCGTGTGTGTATTTTTGGAACATGACCACACTTCTGTTTTCCCTCTCCTCTCTGTTGACCGAACTGCATTGAGCCAGAATGACAGCGTTCTATGACCACTTATAATCACTTACATTTATTTGATCATTTAAAACTCAATACAACCACACGTGGATAATGCATTTAAAATCTTTTAGGATGACACAGTTAATGGTCCAATTAAATTACTCAATGTATCAACAATACATAGTAGGCCTATGCTACACAGTAGACCTAGCCTACTAGGCATGTTTGGGTTTACATTTTACATTTTAGTCATTTAGCAGACGCTCTTAACCAGAGCGACTTACAGGAGCAATTAGGGTTAAGTGCCTTGCTCAAGGGCACATTTACGTCATTTAGCAGACGCTCTTATCCAGAACGACTCACCAATTGGTGCGTTCACCCTATAGCCAGTGGGATAACCACTTTACAATTTTTTTTTTGGGGGGGGGGGGTAGAAGGATTACTTTATCCTATCCCAGGTAATCCTTAAAGAGGTGGGGTTTCAAATGTCTCCGGAAGGTGGTGAGTGACTCCGCTGTCCTGGCGTCGTGAGGGAGCTTGTTCCACCATTGGGGTGCCAGAGCAGCGAACAGTTTTGACTGGGCTGAGCGGGAGCTGTGCTTCCGCAGAGGAAGGGGAGCCAGCAGGCCAGAGGTGGATGAGCGCAATGGCCTCGTTTGGGTGTAGGGACTGATCAGAGCCTGAAGGTACAGAGGTGCCGTTCCCCTCACTGCTCCATAGGCAAGCACCATGGTCTTGTAGCGGATGCGAGCTTCAACTGGAAGCCAGTGGAGTGTGCGGAGGAGGGGGGTGACGTGAGAGAACTTGGGAAGGTTGAACACCAGACGGGCTGCGGCATTCTGGATGAGTTGTAGGGGTTTAATGGCACAGGCAGGGAGGCCAGCCAACAGCGAGTTGCAGTAGTCCAGACGGGAGATGACAAGTGCCTGGATTAGGACCTGTGCCGCTTCCTGTGTAAGGCAGGGTCGTACTCTCCGAATGTTGTAGAGCATGACTTAAAGATAATGAATACATTTTTTAACTTGTATAGCGCTTTTCAAAGAATCTCAAAGCGCATAAAAAGTAAAACGTTCAGATGATGGAGATTGAAAGTCTGTCGGCTTGGGAGTTGAGGCAATTTGTGCTGGAAAGGCATTGTAGGTTCAGAGGAGAGGGCATCGACGGGACAGCCAAGTAGAAACAAAGACAGTCTGGAAAAACAGCCCTTTTCTGAATGGTCAGTCACTATTGGAGTCAGGAATGTAGCACCCACCTGGGTAATGCCACGGCTGCTGAAAAGCCTCCACATCTTGGCAGTGGTTAGGAGCATTCCCTTAACAGTCCCTGACCTTCCTCTGCTACCTCTGGCCACAGTATGCAGTCCTTGGTGTAATACTTCCAAACAGATTAAACAAAAACACAGATTATTTGAATCCAGACAAACGGATAGCTATCAAGCCAAAATATAGAATTTTAATCACAATCCTGCAACTCTGAGAGTCAAGACCACAGGATATAGAGTAGCCAAAAACCCCCCCCCACCCCCAATTTTTTTTTACATAAAATATGTACAATATTTACAGAGCTCTCTGCCTAGGCTATGTTACGATGCCATGGCAACCACGGAACCAATAAGCATAGTATTATAACCATCAATAACCATTATAACTAAGGGTGGCAGGTAGCTTAGTGGTTAAGAGCGTTGTGCCAGTAACCGACAGGTCGCTGGTTCTAATCCCCGGGCCGACTAGGTGAAAAATCTGTCGATGTGCCCTTAAGCAAGGCACTTAACCCTAAATGCTCCTGTAAGTCGCTCTGGATAAGAGCGTCTGCTAAATGACTAAAATGTAAAAAAAATGTAAATGTAATCTTGCGTGGAGCCCCAGATCGAGGGAGATTATCAGTGGTCTTGTACAGTGAGGGAAAAAAGTATTTGATCCCCTGCTGATTTTGTACGTTTGCCCACTGACAAAGACATGATCAGTCTATAATTTTAATGGTAGGTTTATTTGAACAGTGAGAGACAGAATAACAACAAAAAAATCCAGATAAACACATGTCAAAAATGTTATAAATTGATTTGCATTTTAATGAGGGAAATAAGTATTTGACCCCCTCTCAATCAGAAAGATTTCTGGCTCCCAGGTGTCTTTTATACAGGTAACAAACTGAGATTAGGAGCACACTCTTAAAGGGAGTGCTCCTAATCTCAGCTTGTTACCTGTATAAAAGACACCTGTCCACAGAAGCAATCAATCAATCAGATTCCAAGCTCTCCACCATGGCCAAGACCAAAGAGCTCTCCAAGGATGTCAGGGACAAGATTGTAGACCTACACAAGGCTGGAATGGGCTACAAGACCATCGCCAAGCAGCTTGGTGAGAAGGTGACAACAGTTGGTGCGATTATTCGCAAATGGAAGAAACACAAAAGAACTGTCAATCTCCCTCGGCCTGGGGCTCCATGCAAGATCTCACCTCGTGGAGTTGCAATGATCATGAGAACGGTGAGGAATCAGCCCAGAACTACACAGGAGGATCTTGTCAATGATCTCAAGGCAGCTGGGACCGTAGTCACCAAGAAAACAATTGGTAACACACTACGCCGTGAAGGACTGAAATCCTGCAGCGCCTGCAAGGTCCCCCTGCTCAAGAAAGCACATATACATGCCCGTCTGAAGTTTGCCAATGAACATCTGAATGATTCAGAGGAGAACTGGGTGAAAGTGTTGTGGTCAGATGAGACCAAAATGGAGCTCTTTGGCATCAACTCAACTCGCCGTGTTTGGAGGAGGAGGAATGCTGCCTATGACCCCAAGAACACCATCCCCACCGTCAAACATGGAGGTGGAAACATTATGCTTTGGGGGTGTTTTTCTGCTAAGGGGACAGGACAACTTCACCGCATCAAAGGGACGATGGACAGGGCCATGTACCGTCAAATCTTGGGTGAGAACCTCCTTCCCTCAGCCAGGGCATTGAAAATGGGTCGTGGATGGGTATTTCAGCATGACAATGACCCAAAACACACGGCCAAGGCAACAAAGGAGTGGCTCAAGAAGAAGCACATTAAATATTATATTAAATAATACAAGGATCTCCAGCACTGTCTGGGATTAAATAATACAAGGATCTCCAGCACTGTGAATTGTCTTATTACTTTTATGTAGCTAACAATTTAGCAGATAATGATTTCTTGTTGGTCCTCGATAGAGATCAAACCAACATTATTTGAAGTGACACATTTATTAACAAAAGTTCAAAAAAGGTTCAGACCTTCTCACCAGACATACATTAGGCTCAGCATTCACACTATGAGGCAACAAGAACCGTCAGCTCCAAGCTGTAAATGGGTCTTCATTGTAAGAAATAAAAGGACGTTGTCCACCCTGACATGTATCCGTCTCATATAGAGATCTATTTCCCTAGGGAAATATCAACGTCAAGTTACGGACAGTTTCAACAAACAGTACATCAGTATGAATGGTCAAGTGAGATGGCGCCAGCTGCAGTGGGGTCTCTAGATAAGGTCAATACCACAATTGTCCAGGCTGGGCCAATCCGTTCTGTGCTCGTCAGACGGTTTCTTTTCACATGAATTCTCGGCAGCTTGAGCGCTCCAACCGTGCTGTCGGCCGCCCGACGAGATCTGCAGCCAGGGTGCTTGTAACCGCGCTGAAGGGTGGGGAATTGTGGTGAAATCTAAAAACTAGATCCCGTGGTAGAGCAGGTCGTGACGGGGCTAGATCCCATGGTAGAGCAGGTCGTGACGGGGCTAGATCCCGTGGTAGAGCAGGTCGTACTTGGGGATGTTCTGAGGGTCGATGGGACTCTGGACGATCATCTTCCCTCTCATAGCTCCTCTGTAGATCACCTCGATCAGATCCACGAAGTCCTGCTTGGTCTTAAAACTGCCCACAAACTTGGTGTGATCTGGAGACCTGTGTGGGGACAAGGGACAACAGTGTTTTAGCTATAAGCCTGATTATCCACTGAAGGGGAGTGTTACAGCTGAAACCAGCCTGTGGTATTCTAGCGTCCGAGTCCAGCGTAGGCTATCTTCCTTCTCCTCATGTCAACCCTAACATGCCACCACTCACCCATAATCAACCTTCATGTGTTGTCCGTTGAAGAAGAAGACGGTAGATGGGATGTAGCTGATGTCGAAGTATCTCGTGTAGATGGGGGCTGAGTCCACATCCACGATGTAGATTGAAGCCATGTTACTCAGGTCGTGGGACGTTTTGGACAGCTGGCAAAAGAATGACAACACTGGCATTCCGATTCAGACAGACTGAAACTTTGCAAAAAAAGTAATTGACAGTGTTGGTGTAAATGCTACTAACAACTGACATGCCCGTCTTGCATCAATGTTTACTGGCCACAATATTGCAGTAGTTAATAATATTATTATATTATTATTAGTTGGTAGAGCTAGCTACCCAGCTAGCATGCTAGCGACACATGCTAACGTTAGCTACTTACAATCTCATCAAGCTGCAGGCAGACCGAGTCTTCGTCTCTCCCGAACCGAAGAACTAAAACCTTTTCAGCGACAGTTTTTATTACCTCGTCTATGTCCTTTTTGCATGACAATTTGGGCAAAAACAAACTCATTTTGTTAGCTGCTGGCTAGCATTGTGTAGCAGTTTGACGAAGGTATGCTGTGTAACACCATAAAACGTCCGCCAGAAACAGTGAGCGAACAGCCGCTAGTGTCCGCTGCTTCATTCCTGTCGTTTGAGCCAGTATGTTAATAAATGTCGCTTTAACCTTTTGTTTCAAGTTAATACTGCACTTTATTAGTATGTTCGTATGTAGTATGATTAGTACATTTAGTAAGCAGTAGGCTAGAAAGATTTCAGACACAATCACAGTTTTACGTACCAAAGCAGGCATGCTTTGGATCACTTTTGTTAAAAATAAACACACACAAAACACTCAATCCATCAACAAAAAACAACTACATTTAACTTATATATTAATGTGAGCTTGTTTTTATATACACTCAACCATTGGGGTGTCTCTGAAGAAAGGGAGAGAGACGAGACACAAAAGAGAGAACCAAAAATCACCCTGCATGTGGTCCATATCTATCCAGCCATCTATCTATCTACTCTACATATATAACAGAACCATCTACCCCGGGTCAATCCACTGTACCAGAACCTTCCTCTACATATATAACAGAACCATCTACCCCAGGTCAATCCACTGTATCAGAACCTTCCTCTACATATATAACAGAACCATCTACCCCAGGTCAATCCACTGTATCAGAACCTTCCTCTACATATATAACAGAACCATCTACCCCGGGTCAATCCACTGTATCAGAACCTTCCTCTACATATATAACAGAACCATCTACCCCAGGTCAATCCACTGTATCAGAACCTTCCTCTACATATATAACAGAACCATCTACCCCAGGTCAATCCACTGTATCAGAACCTGGCCTCTACAATATAACAACCATCTATCCAGGTCAATCCACTGTTCAGAACCTTCCTCTACATAAATAACAGAACCATCCCAGGTAATCCACGATCAACTGCCTTAATATATCAGAACCATCTCCTCACGATATATAACAGAACCATCTACCCCAGGTCAATCCACTGTATCAGAACCTTCCTCTACATATATAACAGAACCATCTACCCCAGGTCAATCCACTGTATCAGAACCTTCCTCTACATATATAACAGAACCATCTACCCCAGGTCAATCCACTGTATCAGAACCTTCCTCTACATATATAACAGAACCATCTACCCCAGGTCAATCCACTGTATCAGAACCTTCCTCTACATATATAACAGAACCATCAATACCCCGTCACCACTGTATCAGAACTCCTCACTTATACAGACATTCCTCACTATCATAACTACATATATAACAGAACCATCTACCCCGGTCAATCCACGTATCAGAACCTTTCCCCTACATATAAACAGAACCATCTACCCCAGGTCAATCCACTGTATCAGAACCTTCCTCTACATATATAACAGAACCATCTACCCCAGGTCAATCCACTGTATCAGAACCTTCCAGAGCTCTGCTGTTTCACTACATGTCTATGGAGCTCCTGGCATCAGAACAAGTGGCAAAGCTAGATCAGACAGTGTCAAAGTAACAGACCCAGGTGCTTTTTAAAGGAAATACAAACCATGGTGGGGTGATGTGAGGGGGTGACATGTCCAATAAAAAAGAGGAAACCTTCAAAAACAGTCTAACCACGAGTGCAGGAAACTAAATAAACAGAAATGACTGCATTGGCAGTCACCACCATCTCTCCTTCCTTCATTCGTCTCCCTTTTCCTCTCACGCCCATCCCACTCCTCCTCTCCTTCTCCCTACCTCCTTCCTCCTCCTCTCCTCCATCTCTCTCCTCCTCCCTCCCTCCTTCCTTTCTTCCCTCCCTCCCCCTCCCTCTCTCTAATCATTAGTTATAGGATCATATACACAGATTTGGCCTCAGGACAGAGATGTGCGGTGATTGGTCGACCTGGCTGTGAGGTCACTTCCTGTAGGGTGAGTGGTGGGGGTCGTCAGAGTGTGTCTTGGGGGGCGAGACAGGGGGGCAGGAGTGGGACTTAATGCTGTTGTGTTTACTGACTGCCTCGTCGAAGTCTAACAGCCGACCGTTGATGTTGACGTCCAGACAGCCGTGGTAGTAGGCTGACACTGGGGTGGAGGAGGCTGGGATAGTATCTGGAGACGGACGGACGGAGGGAGGAAGGGAGGGGAAGGG